TAAATGAGCACATTCCAGAACAAATTATATTTATTAAAAATAAAATCATGAAAGGATGGCTTACACCAAGCATAAAAATATCTTGTAAACATAAAAGAATATTACGAATAATTTTGAATGAAACTAATAGTAACGTTATAAGAAAATATTACAAACTATATTCAAAAACTCTAAAACGTAGCATTCAAATATCAAAAAAGAAACAGTTTATATCACAAATGTCAAATTCAGAAAATAAAACAAAAACTATGTGGAAAATTATAAATAATAAAACCGGTAAAACTAAAGATAATAGACATAAAAACATAACCCTAAAAATAAAAGATAAAAAAATAGTATGTCCAAAAACCATATGTAATCTATTTAATAAATATTTTACGAGTATAGGCGAAAACGTATCTAATGCTTCTAATAATTTAAATACATTGCCAACAGCTTGCTCGACAATAAATTCTATTTATCTTAGTCCAGTAGATAGCAAAGAAATTAATAAAATAATAAAATCAATGAAAAACAAATATAGCTGTGGCATGGATGGCATACCCCCTGTATTGATTAAACAATGCGCAGAAACACTTTCGTCACCATTGAGTTTTTTAATAAATCAAAGCTTTGCCGTTGGCTCCTTTCCTGACCAATTAAAAATGTCAATTGTAAAACCCCTTTACAAAAAAGGAGACAAAACCAACCTTAACAATTATAGGCCAATAGCCCTATTACCCGCGTTCTCCAAGGTCTATGAAAAAGCAATGCTCATTCGCTTAAACAATTTTTTTGAAAAGCAAAAGATATTGGATGATTGCCAAAATGGTTTCCGAAAATCTAAATCCACCACTACCGCAGTGTTTAAATTCATTCAAATGGCCATTCAACATGTCAATGATAAAGCATATTCTATAGGTTTGTTACTTGATATGACAAGGGCATACGATAGGGTGTCGTACAGTATATTGCTTCAGAAACTATATAATTCAGGTATACGAGGTCCGGCGTACCTTTGGTTTCAGTCTTACCTCAACAGTAGGAAACAAATCGTGGAAATCCTGCATCATGATATGGATACAACTGTAATCCAAACAATACAGTCGGAGATCATGGATTTAACGTGCTCTATTCGCTATGTGCACGACAGTAGCGCCACCTACAATGCGCAACTTTCCGGGATTATGCCAAATAATGACATCAGTTTGTATTTTATTGATTTCTAGTAACTATAGTAAATTAAAGATAAATAAAAAATATTATATATTGTATAATAATTTAAATACTGTCGGATTTCAATTCGGAATTCAGTACAGTCAATAATAACTCTTGTATTGATGTAATCTGGACTGAAACACTTGGGCATTGTTGCTTGTACGGTGGCTCTATTCCGCCAAAAGATTAAATTAGCAGTTGAACAAGCTACATTTTGTAAGATCGAATGAAATATACGTGAGATTGTGGTTTTGTGTACACCAAATAACACACTCAATGCTGAAAATGTCAAGCCAGTTTTCATTGTTATCAAAAAAATCAGAAGTCGGTCTTTAGTGGAAACTGTACAGTTTTTTTTATAGTTAATAAAAACTCAAAATTGCTAAATGACACACCAGCAAGATCTAGGAGTTCTTGATCATTTTTTATTGATGAAATACCAACAAATTCTTGACTTTTTGTTTCGGTAGATTGATCCTCATACGATTTTTTGTCAGTGCCACAGCTTTTATCTTTATTTCTTAAATTATTTGTCATTAAAATTCTTGATGTTGCTATATCTGCTTGGATTTCAGCATCACAGTGATCGTTGTAAATTAATCTAATACAAATAAAAATTGTATCTCTTAATTTCGATTCAGAAAACATATTGACTTGACATACTTGATCGACCATAAAAGGTTGAGTTTGATTTAATTATTATTTGACTTGATGTGGTATCTGAGACTTTGTGGTTCATCGTTTTGTCAAGTGTGTATATCTAGCTAGGACCTGTGAATCATTAACCTTCCTCTTTCGATATATTTCAGGGAATATTCGAAGGAGCATAACTCGGATTTTCTTCCTCGTCTGATTTTTTTTCCCATAAAATGTTCACTACAAATTGTGTCGTCAGGTTTGGGATACCATGGTGACCCATCTACACTAAAATAATAAAGAAAATAATGAATATCACATAAGATATAGCGCAAATAAAATTGATCATAATTTATGGTTATTTCGCTTACTTATTTCTTTTTATGGCATCTATCCACTTATTTCTTTGATTTAATTTCCAGTCCAATGTAGGAAATATAAACACAGACTATTTGTGCCGTTATTTTTGCAGTTCACAACACAACAACATCTATTATTAGGCTTTTTAAAAAAATTATTTATTACGAACTCCGTGCAAATTGACTTTACTTTCCCGGATTGTTGCGTATTTCTGCCACGATAAGCGCTGCGATCGTTTCACAATACCCCCACCATGTACTTCGCACATAGCGAATACCACAAGGGACCGTTTTAGGATGTATGCTATTCTTAGCCTACATAAACGACTTACCTAAATTTTTGATTAGCGAATCTGTACAACCTGTACTTTTTGCCGACGATATATCAATTTTAATAAAAAGTAATAGTGTTGGTAATATGAGTCAAATAACAAACGAAACCCTGGAATTAGTAACGCTTTGGTTACAAAATCATAATTTAGAAATTAATAACGAAAAAACTAAAATTATGGAGTTTAGATCATACGGGAAGCCTCCTTTAAATTTAAAAATTAATTATCGAAACGCAGATCTCGAAACTGTAGAATCGTTTAATTTGCTCGGTATGACCATTGACACGCACTTAAATTGGAAGTCCCACGTAGAATCCACTAAATGTAAGCTTGCTAAGTTCACATATGCTCTTTATCAATTAAAACAATGTACAAATATAGACACGGCGTTATCTGCGTATTATGCATATGCGTATTCATGGCTAAGGTACGGAATAATGCTATGGGGAAACGGCACAACTGCTAACGAGCTCTTTATAATGCAAAAGAAATGTATACGTATCATAGCCCACATAGACAATACGGAAAGCTGCAGACCATATTTTATAAAATACAAAGTCCTGACTTTACCATCCATATATATCCTAGACGTATCACTATTCGTACATCAAAATTTAGACGTATTTAAAAAAGTTGACGAAACACATAATATAAATACACGGCACAAAAATCGATTATATTTACCACCATCTCGATTGAGAAAACTTAGTAGCAGTCCATATTATATGTGTATAAAAATTTATAATAAATTACCCGCTCACATAAAAAACGAAAAACATTTTAACCAATTTAGGATAAAATTGAAAATATATTTATTAGATAAATGCTTTTACACCATAGATGAATACTTTGCAACAAAATAATATTAATGAGGCGATCTTTAAAATACAAACCTAGATTATATAATCATGTTTATTGACATATTATTTTATTTTTATTGACATATTTTTTAATTTTAATTATTGACAAATTTAATTTTATAAAAGAATTTCCATAATAATAATTACAAAATTAAACTAGTACTGTAAATAAGATCAATTGAGTAAGTTATAAAATTAAAGAAATCAGATGACATTTATGCATGCTTTGAGAAAAAAAAGTTGTTTAATAAATATTAGGTTCTTCATTATATAGATAATTGTTTATTTGTTAAATTCTCTTTTGTAATTTTTATCTATATTGCGATACCCTGACAGGGTTCATGTTAGGTACTTTATGCATTTTGTAACTTGTAACCATCCATGTAACCACATGACTGCAATAAATTGAATTGAATTGAATTGAATATCTATTTCTGAATTTTGAATATTTTTTTAAGCTAAAATATCACAACCCAGTTAGTTCTATTTTTATTCTATTTATTTTTATTGTAACAAATCAATGTTTTTTATTAATTTTCAAACATTTTGTTCAATAGCATAAGCTTTCGAAATTTAACTGTAGTCTGGTGGTCTCATTCGGTTTCGGGACATATTTTAATCGAACATTCGGCCGCATTCGACGTTCGGCAAGACCCACATTCGGTGCAACACTAGTAATTATGTTTGTTACTCAATCTACCAAAAACGGCGCAACAGATTCGAATGAAACGTGTTAAAAACTGTGAGCCGTCAGGGGGCGCCTGGCAGATGTGAAACACTAGCTGGTTTACGATAAATACGCTCGGAGAATTGCTCGGGATGCGTGCGGTAAAAAATAACATAGGTCCTTCCTTGAAGAGCGCTGGCGCCGTACTCCGGTTATAATAAGGTACTCTGTGACCGTACTGTGCCCTTAGTATGAGTTTGAGCTCACGAAAACTATCACAGTTTTCGTAATTGTAAATTATGTTTCTATGTCCATTTTGGTGAAAAGTAACCAAATATACTTAAAATTTAAGAAAACGCAAATGATTTAATGATAGTATTTAAACACTGTTTATTTGTATTGAAACGAAAACAATAAAATCAGTACCGTACGAGTGCGAGCTCACGAAAACTATCATAGATTTTATCGTTTTTTATTTAGTATCGGCGAGTAGTTGAGCACTGCTATACAGGCAGTCCTCGTACTTACGGCATGTTAGGCTCTCGAAATACGCGACGTACAGCGAAACGACGTAAGTCAAGACATCCCCACGAACGCCACCCCACGGACATTGACCTCGCGACAAGTGAATTTTCCTATGCCGGAAATCGGAACAATTTACGTATGCTTGAGGAATAGTGTCAAAACATTGTTCGACGTAACTTGAAACGACGTAAATCGAAACGACGACGTAAGTCGAGTGCTGCCTGTATATTGCATTTTACGGGCGAGGATCGGCACGCTATTAGAAATCAGTTTTACGTGCGCCAAAAGATGTTTAACATCAAAATATCTTGAGCTTCTCCGTGCTTCGCATGGCACGCATTATGCTTCCCGCACGCGAGAAGAAATAGGTTAGCAACAAAAAGAAAGACCAGATACTAATTGGTATCTTTTCGCTCTTCCTCAGGGTTACAATCTACCAAAGATAATCAAAATGTCCGCCGAGTCTTTGACGAACACTGAAAGTTCATCGGATTCCACAAGGTGCGCGTGCGTCGACAGTGAATCGACAGAGAGTGCGGATTCGTTGAACAACTTGTTGAGGGAAAAAAACGACAACAACAGTTTGCGGGATTGCGCCGATGTGAAATGTTCCCTCACGGAAGACTGCTCAATGTCAAACGAGAATGGATCTTCAGGGAAGAGCGGCAAATCACTATGTTGCAGTAAGTATGATTAAGTAAAAAATGCATTCTAATCTACCTTTGCAAAATAAATTCATTCCTTTCATTCTTTGTCTTTATCTTCATAATATGGCGCAGTCATTTGTTTTTATTGCTGGCTATTTAAACGCCTAGGCCATAGTTAATTGTATTAGAATCACTGAACATTTGAACAACTACTTAGCGTATTGAATGTCAACCTGTATAAGATGACAGATCAAGACTAAGTGTCGGCGCACACGGGCCACACGCCACAGCCACAAACGCCGCCTATATATATAGATATACTAGAACAATGAAGCTAAAACTAAAAACCTTAAAAAACGACGGGTTGCACTCCGGGAGTGCCGGCAGAAGTGAAAACTTAAATAAGTTATAACGTTGTGCATTTTTGATATTTTGAAATGGTTAGGGAATAATTTTGCTCGAATTACTTTAATTATCAGTACAAACGTACTATCATTTATGTGGTAGAATACAATATTTATTTATTGCGCTATCGTACACAAACATGACAATTTATATTACATTAAAAAAGGATATCTCTCAGAAAAATCAACTTACATGAATCATGTTTAAGCGCACTCAGCGACATCTATTGTAAAAAAATCAACTTACATGAATCACATTTAAGCGCACCTAGCGACATCTATATACAAAAAAACTGTACAACGACGCTAAAGAAGTTTTCACTTCAAAAATATAATATTATAACTAAAAGATATTTTTAAAAGGAGGAGCTCCATTTAGGCAAGCTTTAAATAGGTATTTGTATGTGCACCTGAGTTAGCGTACTTAATTCAAAGTATTTCATTTTATTAACTAAGCCATCCGAAGCTTCGTCATGCAAGTGTGGGCGCTAAAAACTAGGTACCAAATTAATATTCAAACGTGAACATGGATTTGACGTAATCAAACTATTTCTTTTTGCAAATCAACTAACGTCACACGCCATTAATTTTATCCCGTAACAATGACAAAGGAATCGTACGTTATAAATCAATCAGCTCTAATAAGCTACAGCTGATTCTGACGAGACAATGTGTGACCTAGCATTACTCAGTCCATAATAAAGCAATCGTACGCTACACTCATACTTAAAACTCATGCCTTTTAAGATCTAAGACGGTCCAATATCTTTGTTATCTAATTTTAAATTCAAATTTGCCACCGTCAGCGTGCAAGTCTACTTGAGCCGACTGGTATTACACGTAGCGTTGCCATTTTTTTTGCCAAGTCGGGATTTAGGAACTTTATGTGAAAAAAGCGGGATTCTTTCTTCGAAAGCGGGACATAGTAAAAAACGGATAAACTCAAAAGTTTTTTTTTATTTGAGTTCAAATTACGTTTACGTGACAACAGATAGGTACCTAGTAAAAATATCTATAGAAAATGTATTTTAATAAAAATATGATATTGTTACGTGTCGGGATGGGGTTCGAATTTATATACCAGTTCACGCTTGACAGTTCTTTATTCACCACACAGTTCACACAATTAACACACAATATTAATTACAAAACACTCACTAAACACTGTATTTCACTATACAAGTCTCTAAACAATCTCACTTGAACACTTTTGTCCGAAAAAACAAACATTGTTGCCTATGACTTGATGCACACGAGAGTCGAACCCGCACGCTATCGAGGCGGATGCACTGACCAGTTATACTGCCGCGACCTGAATGACAGTGTCAATATTTTTCTAGTATTTATTTCTTAGGTGTAGGGGAGGGTGCGGATTCGAGTCCCGTCTGCTGCCTGGTCCGCGTGGAATTTTTTCTAGCTATATTTTCTTTAGATTTAAACATCAAGCAGTTACATGCTTTAAAAATAATAAAAATTATAACTATAATTGCTATTTCTTCTTTCAAATGTTTAATACTTGTAAAAGTATTCATTTGACATTGTGGGTTTACCTATAATGCGAAGAGATGGCGCTGCCTTGCAGCTTAAGAATAGCTAGAAAGAATTTCGACGCGGTCCGTGAGGGCCGCGGTAGCATAATTGGTCAGTGCATTCGCCCGGATTGCGAAGGGTGCGGGTTCGAGTCCCGTCTGCTGCCTGGTCCGCGTGGAATTTTTGCTAGTTATATTTTCTTTAGATTTAAATTATTTTGCTTCTAAAAATGTGAATAGTCATTGTTTTTACTGTTAATACACAATTTATTTTCCCTAATAAGCCGCGGGTAACACCGCGGGGCACAGCTAGTAATATAATAATTTTAATGTATCTATAAATTTAACAAACTTTATTTTAACTTAGGACTCACGAATTTTTTCTAGTATTTCTTAGGCTGCAAGGCAGCGCCATCTTTTCTTGCACCTTTCCGCACGGATAGCTGAAGGTGCAGGTTCGAATGTTGTCCCCCACGACAACGGCTAACTAGAGCCGAGGTCCGAGTCTCAGAGACGCCGTCTAGTTGAGCCGACCCCCTCAGGTTCGAGTGGTCTAGAGGCTCCAAACGGAGAGGAGTCACCCTCCGTGGGGAGATACCATCCGCCTGGAATATCTCTAGAGGCACTCGCCAATTCTCGGCTTGAGGTCCCCTGAGGATCTCGTCGTCACCAAACCCGATGACGCTGTAAAGGTCATCTGCGAACACCAGCATACACACTCAAAAAAGAAAAGCGAATGCTGTAGGATCCGAGACCAATAGTTTTCAGTATTTTTTTATAAAGCATTTTATGCTTAATATGACGATTTAATAGGACATTCATCATTCATTATTCTTCATCTTGTTTTATTGCTGTGTTTTTACAGAACGATGAATCATCAATTACTTACAAATGTCTTATTTATTCAGAAGATTCCCATTACTCGTGGACATTTTCGAGTCACAAATAAATCTAGTTATCTAATTGACTCAACGATAAAAAAACCGGCTAAGTGCGAGTTGGATTCACCCACCGAGGGTTCCGTACAAATTTGTAAGTAGGTGTGAGTGCACGTCAAAGTTTACCCGCACCGACTTGGGGCCCTCGGGCTGCTCGCCGTTTGCTGAATACACCACGCAATTACCTGCGTCGCAAGAGTTTGTTAACAGGAAATCAACGTGGCGTTGATCATTGTCGTGGATATAATGCATTTTCTCCCCTCATCGAAAAAAAAGTAAGTTAGTAGGTTCGCAACATAACAGCCGTTTGTAGAGAGAGAAAAGAAAGCTCAGTCGGTTGCCAAGCGACGCGGTCTCGTTGTCGCGCTCGCGCTGCGCTGAAGCGTACAATTCTATCTCGCTCGCTCGATTGAATATTTTTTTAAAGAAGTGTGCGTGTAGGAGTTTTGTTTATGTAGTTGAGTCGGAGCATATTTTATTTGAAGCAAGTATGAGCGCTTAGATTAAAACAAAAAGAGAAGATACGGCACTCCTGCTCAAAAGTGATCCGCTTAAATTGTGGTGCATGACCATAATTCGCTTTAGGCACAATTGGACATTCAAACTCGCTGCATGTGCATTCAATATAACAATATTTCGTATATTCTGTGTTATAAAGATAAAACAATACCTTCAAAATCAAATAACAAATGCCTCGGTAACACTTTTCATTCGTAAAACTGTAAAATCATATTTTTCTCAAAAATCACGATTTTTTGTGAATGTTTTTAAGTAATGAACAATAGAGCTCAGTCGTTCGCACTCTGCGTTAAAGCGTACAGTTCTGTCTCGCTCGCTCGATTGAAGGTTATTTACAGACGTGTGCGTGCGTGAGAGTTGCTTATGTAGTTGAGTCGGATCATATTTTATTTGATGCTAGTATGAGCGTACCGTATCTTCCCTTTTTGTCTTAATCTAAGGGTTGAGCAAAGCGATGGCTTCTCTCTTCATGCGTCATACTCGTGAAAGGGTGCTGCCAGCGGAGACGAGTCTTTTTTTTTTTTGTTTCCTCCCATGCGGGGGGGAGCGGTTGTGAAATCCTCATGGATACCCTACAACCGGCTGTAGGGTTATGTCAGACTCTTACTGACTAAAACACACCCGTGGGGGATGCCTATGGCCTTAGGGGCCTTACAGGCTTCATCTGATGCGATCAACCCCTGAGAAGGTGATGATGCAGCGCTGCCTTAGTAAATACTACTGCATAGTGCGCTTAGAGGACGGATGCACTCTGATGTGCATCCGTATCGGTTTGGGACTTGGGACTAAGAGACCTTCTCTCAGGATCGGGGGGGCGGGAGACGAGTCTGCCGTAACTACTTTGATATTGAAGATGTTAGTATAACCTACTATAAATAACACGCAGCGCTGCTTTAGTTAGATACTAGAGCATATGCGCGAGAAGGACGGTACGGCCTCCTAGTGAGGACAGAAGAGCTGCAGAGGGCCGCTCCTGCGCAGGGAGGGCAGGCAATGCCGGAAGGGCCTTGCTGTAAGGGGCCTAACGGGGTGCGATCCCCGTTTATTCTAACTAACGGGGAGCTTGTTTGAGAGCTAACGCGTGTGTGGATGCTGGCTCGCGCCTATCAACGCTAAGTTTGACCGACGCGTTAGAGACTCGTGAGGCGTGCGCCGGCAGAAAATCGGTACCGAAACCGGCGCGAGTCTCACTTGCCACTAGACCAGCACCGTCACAGGCCAACCTAAGCGAAGCCTAATCGGTGGGGTCTTAAACAACTTATCCTAGATACAAAAATAAAAACTGAAAAGAAAAAAACAAGTCCAGTAGTCTATAATTCTGTTAATAAGGAACAAAGCTACTTTAACAGTCGGGACCCATTAGATATTGAAGAATACATAATATTGTTCAACAGTGGGTCCCGACTGTTAAAGTAGCTTTGTTCCTTATTAACAGAATTATAGACTACTGGACTTGTTTTTGTTTTTTCAGTTTTTATTTGAAGTATAATTAAGCAGTCGGGTTTTTTGATTTTTTAAATTTACCTTTTTTATTTCACACTTTTTAGTTAGTTAGTATTTTAAGACGGTATATACCGTAGTCTTGTTACTTCAGTAACGGAATTAATATCGCGGGAATTATTAAGTACCTTGCGTCTCGGTCTAAA